GGGGGGAGGTCCACTTATAACTTGAGCATTTCTTAGTGTGGGCTTGTGCTGGCCTGCACACCTCCCAACTTGCAAGCTTGGTCCAATCCGATTCCCACTGTATAGTCTATAGTGCCCTACTGCTCTTGCTGCGTGCAATGAAGACCACTGATGGCTCTCTACTAATTGAGAAGTGACTTAACGTAGAAAGTAATGAAAACTCTACAAAAGCAACATCTAAAATGATGTGGATTCAGCTCTTGAGAACATCTAAACAAATGCATCTAAGCATATAGACAAAGCCTTTGGTGTCTGGATGAATCAAACTCTCCTTGCATTCACTTGATTTCATCCTCTCATGATCTCCAAACTGGCATTAATCAATGGGCATTGCAAGTACAATGACACTTCATCATCATGGGTTCTCTTTATCCTTGATGAACACTTCATCATCCATTAATGTACAGACGAAATTGGTTGATGGGTTTTTCTTGTTTCCACTTTCCACCCCAACTGAACAGTGAACACTTCACCAATAAATCCAAATGGCCTTTGTTTTCTCTCTTCTGTTTTCTTTTTCTGAATGGGGTTGGAAAGTTCACAATTTTATTGTTTTTTTTTTCTTCTGGGTCTCTGGGTCTCTGGGTCTCTGGGGTTGGGTTCGACTCCCCCCAGGCTTTACCAACCCAGGTTGTTATTTAATTGATATTTGTTTGTTCACTTTCCTATGACAAGTAAAAGAGATGCTCCATCTAATCAGAAAGTACGAATCGATTCATGCTTCCACCGATCAAAGAAGTGGCGAGAGACCCCATCTCTCATGGTGGGGCGTCGCCTCATTGTAGGCCTTGCCTAAGCAAGTAGCCTTTTAGTAGCTATTGGGCATTTATTTATTACGCCCACATATTTTCTCAAGCATTTGTTAATTGTTATGCACTCACAACAACTACAACTACTAGAGCTTAGCTTTGCTCCTCCCTCACTTGTCACCAACCAGAAGATCATCAGCCCAGCTTTTCCTCCTCCATATCTTCTCTCCAGCTGCTGTCATATCTCTCCAAGTTTCTTCTCCAGATCTCCACAGCTAACTTTTATGAGATCTGTTTTTATCCATTAATTGGAAGTGACCCTGACTACCTCATCCCCGCCCCTGTCCCTTCTACATATTCATTAATCAAGCAGCCGCTGGCCGCCCGGCACATGCCAACAATGATGGCGCCCACATATGGCCAGCCCCAAGCCAAAGCTCCGCTCAAAAGCATCCATTGGCCGCTGCCCTCCACACCCAACCCAAGCCTTCAAAGTGTCCCGGCCTGATGCCTACATCTACCAAGGCTGAGTTGTTAAGTCGAGCCACAGCCACCCTGCACCCACCCATCTAGGTCAGAATCAACAAAGGTTAGCTGTCTAGCTTTTACCACTGGCATCTCACTCTCTTTGACACATGGCATGTAGTTGGTCGTGCACATGGTGAGGTAAGCTCCTCACGCTTTGGATTTGCAACTTTCAATCACAATCATAATCCATAAAAAATAAAAATTAAAAAAGACCATCTAGGCTAGCTTTTATGCCTTCATGAAACTTTCTTTTTCAACCTACAACTCATAGTCTCATAGCATCAAATTTACTATTAAAACTCATCACCATATAGCCACCCTAGGCTTAATTAACTATATTCATCTCTTTTCATTCTTTTTTCCATGGGGGAGAGGGTGAGCTATAGACATGAATAGTGGGAATCCTAAAGTGGGTTGTCAGCTTAACAGAAAAGCTTGTTGCCTCTCGTATATATCCCTCACCATGAATGAATATGTAGTCAAGGAAGGTTTATGAGAATAGACCAATGAATAGGGTAAGTACTCAAATAATAATTGATCCTTTCTCCTCCTAGCATCATATATCCCATTTTCTTTGTAAAAGGCTAGGCTACGTGGTTGACCTTTTCACCTCATCTTCTTACTCTCTTACAATGGTATCTATATTTGGTTGACTCTTTCCATCAACTTTGGCCATTCTATTAGGTTCAGTTTGGTTCAATAAAAAAATAAGTGGAAGGGATTTTCCCTCTTTTTTTCCTTTTGTTTCCTTTGAGGGACTCATTGAGCTAAAAGAAAAAGAAAAAAAAAGAACTCCATTTAGAGAACTAATTATGTTGTCATTAGGTTGGAAAGATAAAAAAAAAAAAAAAGTTAATTAGGAAATACTTCTATTACCAGGAAGACACTTGAAAAGCCCTGCTCCCACCTCTTCACACCTTTATGCCCAATAAGTTTGAGGTGGTGGTGGATTGGAATGTTGGGTCGGTGGAACCTAGTAGTTCCAAAATGATCTACCTTAATCCAGTAATCCCCTCCACTCTTCTCAAAGGGGATTTAATCAAGATGCTTGTTGTCTGGATGGAATTCGTCTCAAATCTCAATAGGAATGGAGCTAGGTGGAAATAGCTGAACCCACAAAAATAGACCCAGGAAATTTCAGGCATATTGATTGTTTGAAGGAAAAAAGAGAGGGAGACAATAACCATTACTACAATTATAATGAAAAATAGACCAATAGCTTGGAAGATCAAGAATCTTAGAAATGGGTTGGGGGTGTGGATTTTCGGCCCATGGCCCATCAAGTACTAGCCTATTCAGTAAATGGTCCCTTTCAGTGCATAGGTGGGTCACCTATGCATCTCGTAGCATCAATGACAGGGTACATTTTCATTCAAGTCCAGCTTTTTCAAATAAAAATTTGTACTTATCTAATTTTATTTTCATCAACCAAGAGCCCAAGTATGAAACCAGTATCAGTGGTCCCCAAGAGAAGCCAATTCAATTCCATAAATATGATAGAAAACTTAGAAATATTTGCCATCTCAACATTCTGACTTGCTGAGTCTGATTGGATATGGCTTTATTTCTAGTCTACTTCTTTCTGTTTTATAGAGACATTCATTCCTTCATCTTCTTGTCATTGTTAAGGGACTCTGGACCATCCAGTTGTGTTAATTAAGGATAAAAGAACTCCATAATATGAATGAAGAATGCATTGAATAGGCCAGCTGAAACAAATCTGGCCAATTAATCATCTACTTCTGTTTGATCTTCATCATGATGACCAAAAGCAGATTAACATTATCATTCCTTCTTCCCAAGCTTTTCATTAACATTTCTAAGCTTCACTCTGGAAATTTATCGGCTATAAATGCAACAATTTTGTGGCCCCAAGTGCTAAAACTTCCCAAAATCAAAGATTATTTTATTAGAAAAGTTTCTTGCACTTTTTTCTGCACCTTCTTTAACAGATGCCAGGGAACCCCCTTGACTACTATAGATGGCCAAGCAACGGTTCAACCACCAAATCCCAAATCTGCAACTACCTATACCTCCTTTGCATACATTTGGCCCAATTGGTTTTGTTTGTTTGCACTGTGGGAAAAAGAAATTCTTTCACAGAGCAGAAGAAACAATAGAAAAAGATATGTAGGTGCAGACCCTAGCAATTCTTATGACCACACAGTAGGAGAAGCTAGGTGACAGACATGTTAAAAGCCCTAAAAGGGAACCCAAGAACTTGAATCATGTAGAGCATGATAAAAAACCATCTATAGGAAGGGTGATCAGGATATGCTGCTAACAGCAATGTTCGTGTGCCATCTGTCCTCTACACCTGAGACACTTTGCATTGTGTATGTTGGGCTTTGAATGTTGAGGACAGGTGGCACACAGGCATTGCTGTTGGCAGCAATGTTTGTTTGCAGCAGATCCTGTCCCCCATTTGAATTTGTTATGTAAAAATGTGTGTAGCTGATGGTTAGGATCTTTCTTTAGAGATTTTCTCAAATTGGGGAATGCAATGGATTATGTTTACAGCTTCTAGTTAGGGTTTATAATAATATAGAAAAATGAACTAAATAAATACTAATTGGGTCTTCACTCTTCACTTTCCAATGAAATCTCAAAAGACCAACATGCTTTCAAGAATCCCAGTCTCCAAAAACCCACGAGCACCCTATCAAACAAGAATAAAATAGACTAAGAAAGAATTATCAGTCCCACAATCCATGTCCCCAACCTAGAAATTCCGGCACTAATTAACAAATGTTCCCAAGAGCATAGCATTAAGCACAAAGTTACCCAGCAGCAGCTAAACAGAGGTATGACCATTGGGTCATTGATCAGGGCAGTCTGGTTAGCTAGTTGATGAATAGATTAAAACACCCAGAGAATTAGGGCAGGCAGAGTGTCCATGCTTTACTCACCTCATAACTCCCTTTCCTTCTTTAACTAAAACCCATTTCGTAAATGAGGTTGTCATTTAATGGGGGTGAAAAAACTGAAGATTATTGAATTCTTAATTTCTAATGCATTCAAATCTTGATCAAACCGTTAGGGTCCCTGTCTGTACCATGACAAAGATAATTCAAAGAGGTGGCCCACCTGTTGAATGGTCTGGATCAATAAATCAGAGGGATTGTTAAGGTGTAATGGGTGTAGGGAACATCATATGTTTCTTCACTAACAAAGGTATTATATATCTAAAAAATAGAATGTTTGGTCACCTAAAAAGACGAAGTATGCATAGTACACAGAAATAATTCTCAATAAATGGAACCCCATCATTCATTCCCCTCTAAAGAAGCAAGATGAAATAAAATATCTGGGAAAAATAAATTACAAATTTCAATAGAGAAAAAATAATGAAGATAAAGTCAATTGCTCGAGAAAGAAAAGAAAAAAAGAAATAGAAGCCAAAGAGATCTTAAATCTGAAGGAAAAGGAGTTCAAATCAAGATGGTGGAACAAGAAGAAGAATCTCAGTCAAAGCAGTCAAAGTTTTACTAATCAAACAAACACCAAAAGAAGGGAAAGCATCAAAAATCAAGAATAATAGAAGTATACAAACACTTCCTACTACTTAAACACCCATGTATTCATAATTTCATACAGACCTCTTTGAATGGGAAAGAAACAGAGAGAAAGAGAAGGAAAGAAATAAAGAGAAAGAAGCCATGAAAGCTTCCTGTTTATTGGCTTGAATTTTTGGTCTCTCTCTCTCTCTTTTGTTTTATATTTTTTTTAACTCTCTTTCCTTTCTCTCCCTTTCTGCCCATTAAACTATGGAAATGGCAGATTCCCAATCATCCTTTCCCCTCTATAGGAAACACCCATCATTGCCCCCAACCATCCTTTTCACCATGGAAACTTGAGCTTTTAAGCCATTCCCTTCTTCCATTCCTGCTTTCTTCTCCTCGTTCTTCTTCTTCTTCCACTCCTCCTTGGAAGCTTGTGAGTTCCTTTCAATTTAAATATCATCCCTTTATCACCTTTTCTCCTGCACCATCTTTCTTTAACCTTCTTCTTGCAATGGATCCTTCATCCACCACCTCTGTCAATGGCTTCTACACATTTCTCACTCGTGGGATCGACGATCTCGAGCGGTCCTTCCTAGCCAACAACTTCATGTCCATTCAATTCCTTCAAAGGGCTCTCTCACTGCTTCGATCCTTCCATTCCCAGTTAACCATTTTGGTCCAAAAGCTCCATCTACCAGTTGGGGAGAAGTGGCTGGACGAATACATGGACGAGACATCAAGACTTTGGGAAGCCTGTCACGTCCTCAAGTCTGGCATTTCCGGCATGGAGAATTACTATCTAGCCGGGGCAGAGATCGCCACCTCCCTCGACGGCCATCGCAACCCGAGCCCACAGCTCTCTCGACAGGTTTGAATTTGCAAAGAATCATATAACAGAGTTAGTCTTGGTTGTTCTCCATTTTTACTTTTTTTAGAGGTCATGAACTGATTCCTTTTCTCATCGTAATTATTGTTACAGATCATTCGGGCAATCTCCGGTTGCCGCAGAGAAGTCGTGGGATTAGAAGAGGAGAACAGGGCCTTGATGGAGACCAGAATCCAGCCTCTGTCACTTAGGTTCGACGAGAAGGTCTCCATAGAATCCAAGCTCAATGGATTCAATGGTTTTAGAGGTGTTCTGTATGCAATGAGGAACGTCAGCTCACTTTTGCTGATGATCTTGCTCTGCGGATTGGTTTACTGCTGGCCCGAATCAAGCTTTCGCCGAGGAGGATATGAAGGGTGCCTGTTCTTCGGGTCTGCTTTCATGGTTTCCACTGCAAGATTGCAGCAGAGAGTAGCAGCAGAGATGAACAGGATGGATGGCCGTCCAGGAATTCTGCTCAACGAGTTCCGAAGGGCCAAGATGGCAATGGAAGAGCTGAAAGCAGAATTGGAGAGGACTGGTCAGGGACCGGTGGAGAGTGAATCAGAGGTTGGGATTAGAGAGAGAGTGGAGAATTTAAAGGGGTGTTTTGGGTTGTTGAGATCTGGAATAGAGAGCATAATTGGACAACTTGATGATTTCTTTGATGAGATTGTTGAAGGAAGAAAGAAGCTTTCAGACATTTGTAGTCACAGGTAGAGATGGAAGATTAAATAGAAGGGGAAGAATCAGTTGTTGGGGTGATTGATCTATTACCTTTTCTTTCTCTCTTTCTTTCTTCATTTTTTCTGTTTTTTTTTTCCTTTTTTTTATCTCTTTTGTTTTGCAGCAGGATTTTGAAGAAAGCTTTTCATGAAGAACTCAGAAAAAGGAAAAATTTTGAAAAGAAAAATAATATGAAAATGTCATATGGCTTCCAGGGAAGGAAACATCACTGTCGAAGAAGAACAAGGAAGAATATATTTGATAAAAGCTTCAATGGAAAGCCAAGTATCTCTCACTCCTGTCCAAACAACAGTTTCTTCTCCCTGTAAAAAGAAATATTATTATATTTATTAATCGAAAAGAAAAAAAAAAAAACAATCAAAGGTTGCAACTTGTTATTGTCATTTTCGCAAACAAGAGTAAGCATTACAGACAAATCCCATGTTACATGTATGAAAATATGATATTATTAAGAGTTTTCAAAGGAAACAAAGAATTTAGGCAAGAATTTTCTCGTTTTCTGTAACTGGTTTTGTTTTGTTTTGTTTTTTTATTTTTTATTTTATACATATCTAACCTGTCTACTTTGAGGGTATTCAATTATTCATACTCGTCTTCAACAGTAGTGGGTTCCTTCGGGGCTTTATCTTTTGCTTTTTTTGATTTATTTATTTCAGGGATAGTTTATTTTATTGGGGTCTGGGAGATGCTTTTATAGTGTTATTTAGTTGTTCTAGTAAATGACTAATCATTCCATTTGTGAATGAATGATGGAGGGGGTACCGGGTACTGGAGATTCCTGGGTTGCTTTAAATCCAAAAGCACTTTTTTTGTTGTGGAAGCTTTTGTCTGATTCGGTTCCTTTGAAAGCAATGGAGTTGATGATGAAAGCTTCTCAACACCCTGACATGTCCCCTCTGTTTAGTCGCCTCCTCCCCCCACCCAACCCACCTTCCCTCTCTCTCTCTCTCTAAACATGATTTGATTCGGTTCTCCTCTTTTTCTTTTTTATTGTTCATATTTTCCTTTTTAGGGTTCTGTAATCTGTAGTAGGTTCCCTCATGGATAAACCCCAGTTTGATTCACTTTTTCTCACCCTCCAATTTCATGCATCTCTTTCTCATCCCATGACAGCAAATTGATTCGTTTCTTTTCACCGGGAAAAGGAAAAAGGAGTTATACAATTTCATGCATCTCTCAAAAGAGGATTATTTTCAACAAAATGAAGAGAGGGGGAAAAGGATATACAAAACAAACACTGATGAGAACTTCAATGTGAACCCAGATGTCTCACAAATAAAGGGAAAGGTTTGCAGTGGTGGGACATCAAAGTAAACCAATAATCATGGCTCTTGCCTACATCACAAGTGACCCATGGCATAAAATTATTCCTTGTCTTTTACTAAGATAGTTACCAGGTCTGCATCCACCTTAAGGGACTAGAATCCAAACAATTAACAACTAATTTGAGCCACGCAATCATGGATTACTTGCCATCAACATCGAAAGCTAGCTATTAATCTTGAACGTCACTCAGATAAACTCTCCAACCCTCCACACACACTAATAACAAAGATGCTTACGAAAAAAGAAAAATCATTTCTAACAAAAATGCTTACAAACCACAATAGATAGTTGCCAACCAAATCATGGCTTTGGATAATCTATAAACCAACCACTATTCGAAAAAATAAACACTTGTTGCATTAATAGTTTCCACAATAGGACCACTCAGAAAGGGAAGAAAAGAAAAAGGCTAATATAGCCAATGGCTTCAAATTTACAATTCACTTCTTTTCCTTCTCCAGTTGGGATCATCAGATGAAGGCCCACGAAACATGTACCCGAAAAGAAGTATATGGAACATTTTAGAACCTGCACGGCATTCAGTCCAGAACATGTTACATGGACGAACAGTTCTCATGATCTAAAAGGCATGAAGACACCATTATGACAGTAGTACGCATCAGGGGGGCTCAAAGTCTTGTCATCAAACATAAACCTGAAAAAGACTGCCCAAGAAACATCAAGCGTGGGTTACCTCTGTAACAAAACAAAAGAAATTCATCAGTGTCCATTTTTACTGGATTATGCCACTTAAAAGAGGCCACCAAATAGTGGCTGCAGTATGACCGTATTAGATAAACAGTGCAACGGTACAGACCATTCCGAATGCCACAGTTCGTCGGAGACCAAAAATTACACAATGAAAAAAAAAGTGATTAATGTATAATTTTACAAAATCATGAAAAGATCGGCCCGAATTTCACCTTTCATTTACATGTAAAACCAGTGATGAAAAAAATGGATGCTCTAAATATCAGGATGACGTGGAATCACAATAGTGGGTGATCTGCAATTTATAGGCAATGTAGGAAAAGTATTGGATGCACCATCACCATGTGAAACCTTTGTCAGACAAGAAAGTAGGATGAATTCATAGGTTGTCTCTCAATCATGCTCAAACGTCAAATCCAGGCATTGCAAACTGGGCTGCAAAAGATTCAACACGGGCACTAAGTTCAAGAATGTCCTTGTTGTTCTGGAGACCCTTGAAAAGATCCTTCTGCATTTTCCCATGATCCCTCTGCACAGCAATGGCAATCTGAGCTGCCCTAAGGAGGAAGTCGGCTATCGTCTCAAAATCAGACTCCACACAACCTCTTGATGTCATAGCAGGAGTACCTGATAATAGAGAAAGGAACTATGAGAAGACCATGACACAATTTTACGACCATGACACAATTTTACTCCACCACAATACTAATGTGCATTTTAATGAATTAGCAGCAACATGTAATATCATAACATCTTTACATACCAATCCTCACCCCTCCGGGAGAAATAGTGCCATTGTCACCAAATATAGCACTGGTATTGAGAGTAATGTGGCACATCTCACACACTTTCTCATAGTACTTTCCTATCAAGAAAAAGTAGAAAAGGAAGTTCAGTTAAGCCTTGAGTGCAAACTAGGCATCAGGTTACAGAAGTCCTAAATATTTAATTGCATCAAATGCAAAACAGTGAAAGCGTTGAACGAGCCATGGAAGGCTCCAATTGTTGACAACTAATTTATACATAACAAGAAATTTACTGAATGACAACATAGAATCAAGGTTCAAAATTTCTTAAGGCTTTTATTTTATGAATAAAATTTCTTAAGGCTTTTCCAAAATTCGATGTTTTTAAATGTTAATTAACAATAATATTGAACCTCCTGTGAAAATAAAGTAAAAAACAAAAAAAAAAGCTTTTGGCAGTATCAAAACACCCAATGGACATGTTCGTGCATATCGGGTGTATTGATACTTTGTACCTTGCATATAATATGTAGATGTATTCACCAACAGTCCTACAGCTGTTAAGTATTATTCATAATAAGACATAAAAAATGGATATTTAATGGCCAAAGTACCCATACAAGAATAAACACTACTCTTTTATGCATAAAAGTTCCTTTTCCTTTTACAGACTTAGCCATCTTGTACGGGTACTGAGGATGCAGAAACAAATGATGTAAAGATGCAAAGATAGAGAAATTAACCAAAATACTTGTGTAGCTCACAGATAATAAAGACACAATTCATTCATAAAATCCAAGATTGTATTTTTCTCCTAAGCAAAACATAGGTTCTTTTTTTTTTCTTTGAAAAAAGGAAAAAATAATGCTACACTTATAAAATGATGAAATTTGATTTTGAATTTGGGCAAATGGATACTACATGCAGCCCTAAGTACATTATTTATGCATCTTATCAGAAGGATTTAAGGTATTATGATTCCCATGTTTGTTATTTCCATAAGCATGCTTACTTCTAGGGATGGCAATTTCTACCCTACCCAGTGGGTACCCGCCCCAATGGGGTGGGTTTTTTGCTCGAAGAACAGGTTTTGGGGCAGGGATGGGTTTTGGGATTCTACAACCCGTACAGGTACGGGTAGGGTATGGTATTAGGCTAAACCCGACCCTCAACCCGTATATTGTTGGAAAGCATATAAACATTATATATTAGGTGTTGAATTTAATAATATTATGAATTTTATGTGAGGATAATTGATAATTTTTGTTTTTTACATGCTTTAATCAAATCATTGGAAATTTTGTTTTTTGTTTGTGTTATTTTACTTATTTATTGCTTATATATAACAAGAAATAAATAGGAAATTAGATGTGGGTTTTAAGCCCAACCCGCCCTACCCATGAATGCCGAGAGGGTAGGGTCAGGGAGGGTTTTGCATTTTCATGTGTGTAGGGGAGGTCTAGGGAGGCAGGTAGGGTCTAGAATTTACGAAACCTTCCCCAAACCTGCCTCGTTGCCATCCCTACTTACTTTTGCTAGCCTATTCCACTTGCATCCAAAAATCAAAAAGAGCCAATCCCACAAACCTGTTATAACAGTACAGGAAATTAGTAAATGGTAACAATCCTCACCCTGAGACCTACAAAGAGTACACCAATTAGGTGAGATGCAGAGATAAGGTCTTCACGTTTGTAGATTATCCAAGGTGTTTACTTTCCCATAATGCACTTCCCAACAGAATGCCAAGACCTTAGGGGGAATAGGCCTACACCAGATCTCCTTAATGGGGAAAGGCTGTAAAGACATAGGACAACAAAGGGCCTTGAAGAAAGAAGCACAAGAAAAAATACCCGAGGGCAAAAGTGTCCAAATCCTTTTATCTGGCTTCATTAGATCCATTAGGTTTTTCAAGAAGACTCAAAAGACGGGTTTGACTAACAATCTCTTCAGCCCTTAAGTCTCTCTCAAAACCAAAGTCCCAAACTGGTGCCCACGAAACTTCCAAAGGGAACAGAATTTTAAAACAGGCTCTTTTTTAAAGCGAGAGATAGTGAATAAGGATGGAAGAGGTGAAGAGGTCCTTCAAAGGAGCCTCTCCAACCCAAATATTTTCCCAAAAGAGGACTGAACTACCACTACACACATCATACCTGAGAAATTTGTAAAGTTGAGGGAGAACACTGTGATTTTCCTTCCAAGGTGTTGCCAATGTTGCCCGCTAAGAAACCTCAGCATCCCATTCATTCTCCAAGTTACCATGAATAGTTCCTATCACCTCATGTCATAATCTCTCTCTATTGGCCATCTCCACAACCATTTCCCCGATAATGCCATATTCTTTTGCATTAAATTCCCTATTCCCAAACCTCCCTCCTCTTAACTTCTACGTGCCACCTCCCACTTCACCCAATGATCCTTCCTACTTTCCCCTAATTCCCATAGGAAGTCCCTTGTTAACTTCTCCAACTTCTTGGCTTCCCTAAAGGGGATCCTAAAGACAAACAAAAAATAGGTTGGTAGGTTAGCCAGGTTGGCTCTAATCAAGGTGATCCTACCCCCAATAGAAATATAATTCTTCTTCCACAAAGCCAATCTCTTTTCAAACTTCTCTAAACCGAGCACTAGAAGCCACTCTCCCTAGGGTTTGCCCCTAATAGGAGTCCTAGGTAGGTCATAAGCCAAGTAGCTACAGAACACTCTAAACACCTTAAAATCACCTCCACCTCTCCAGTATCCAAATATATCTCTGCCACACTCTTTGCAAGGTTGAATCTCAAATCAGTAGTTCTTTCAACCTTTTCACCAAAGTCTTTAGATTCCTCACTGTCTCAAGGTCTCCCCCTTCACAGAAAACTAGTAGGTCATTTGCAAATTAAAGATGGGTAACTGACACTACAACCCTACCTATTTTCCACCCATTTACTATATTCTCCCTATCAGCCTTTGAAATCATTATACTTGGCACATCAGCTAATAAGGTGAAGAGGAAGGGCGAGAGAGGATCCCCTCCTTATACCCCTACAAACTGGGAAGAAATCCTTTACCACTCCATTAACCACTTACACCACACTTTCTCAAAAACTTGTAAGAGGAATTGCCAATCCACCAAATCATAGGCTTTTTCCAGATCTAGCTTACAAATAAAGCCCTTCTTCTTTGATCTTCTCATTTTTCTCTAGCACCCATTAGCTACTAAGATTTGGTCTGTAATTTGTTTCCCTTGTACAAACCCCCCTTGGTATTTTCTGATTAAGGAAGGAAGAACTTCTTTAATCCTTAAGGACAAGACCTTGGCTAAAATTTTGTAAATACTAGTCACTAGGCTTATTGGTCTAAAATCCTTAGGGTGAATAGCATCAACTTTCTTAGGAATTGAAGCCAAAAATGTAGCATCAACTCCTAGGCTTACTATGTGATTATCTGCAAACTCAACACCTCACATAGATCCTCTTTCAAAATCTCCAAACAATCTTGATAGAAGGCCATTGTAAAACCATCTGGACCCGGTGCCTTAAACCCTTCCATCAAAAACGCTGCCCTTTTAAAAATGTTAATGCTATAGAGTATTCATGCAATGTATCTAAGTATTGGTTATAATACTAGTACGCTAGGCATGTAGAGGACCTAGGGGTATCTAGGATTCATAGATATAAACTACTTTAATAGTGCATACATTTCCATAGACATTTTTACAAGTCCATGTTTTCTCATCTTGCCAAGTCAGACTCTTGGACAGGCAAAAGAGTTAAGGCTTGCCCAACTGTTATTGATTGAGGAAATCCAATGCACGCCAAAGAAGATCTTAATACCCAAGTGAAGGGATGGTTAGAGAAGTCTTCGTGGAATCAAGTGATAGTGTCTTGGAGAGGGTGAAATGGTTAGAGAAGTGTCTAGTTGGCTGTTTTGCCAAATCTGACCCTGACAAAGTGGGAGTACTAAGATGGGTCAGATCGAAGTGGAATGTAAAAGAAAAAGTCCAGGTAAGAAAGTTAAATTAAGGGTTCTTTCTCTTTGTCTTGAGTAGCAAGGAGGCAGAGGATGTCTTGGATCGTGAGTCTGCAAAGGTGAGGTTGCTGGATCTCAGTCTTAGACTGAGAAAATTGTATCTGTTGGTGGGGGCAATCATAGAAGTGGGACCAAAGAAACTTGTGTGGATCAATGTCTTCGGGATTGCTCTCCATGCCTAGAATATACGAACATTTTGTGCTCTGGGAAATGCATGTGGCTCCTTTAGAAAAATTGATGCTCACACATATTACATGAAGAATCTGGTATCAACAAGAATACTGATCTTGGAGAGGACAGAGATGGAGATCAAGAGAGGTGGGGGTAAAAGAGATTTTTGAGGGAAGGAATTGAAGAGCCTGAGTAACAAAGGACACGTGGCGGAGAATTTAAGGGGGAGATTTTCAAAGAGTCCAATGGGGCTTCTTTGGGTGGACATCCAAATTCGACCAAATAAGATCAGATCTCGGATCGGATCATGATCCGATCCGTTTGCACCCCTAGGTGTTTATCTCCTATTCCTTTGTGCTTCATGTTTGGGAGTTTTTCTGCTCCTTCAGCTGCAAGTGAGACCCCCCTCAAGAGGTGGTGCACATTTTCAACCCAAGCTTCTTGAGGCAACAAAAGAAGAGAGGAAGAATAGTGTGGAGAGCTACTAAGGAAACAATTGTTTTGGGTGGTGTGGGAAGATAAATAACAGAATCTTCAATGAAAAGTGTAGGAGGTAATAAACAGTATAAAAGTGAAGGTTGCTTTTTGGATAAAGACCTTGGATTGCTTCCAGATTTTCTGTCACTAACTTTATAAGGTCTTGGAAGGAGATAGCACAATTCCCTAAAGAAAAGGAAAAATTAAGAGTGGAGTGGAAACCTCCAAAAGGTGACAAAGTCAAACTAAATTTTGATGGAAGTTCCTGGGCAACTCAGGAATGGCAAGAATAGGCGAAGCAATCAAAAATTCGAAGAGAATGATTTATTCAGGATTGGCATTACTACATGGGCTCCAATTGCCAAAGCAATTGGGCATTAGGCAGGTGGAGGAGGAAGGGGATTCAAAAGTAGTTATTACATGGATTACTTGTAAGAGACATAATCCTTTGACTCTCAAACATATTTTTTAGGGGAGTTGGAAGGATACATTTAAATGCTGACTTCAAGTGGGTTAGGAGTGCAAATAGGCTAGTTGACGCCTTAACAAAACAAGGGGTAGCAAGGCAACAATTCTACTAGGCTTCATTGTAATCTAGCTTGTGTAATTGGTAATGACATCCTATAATCAATTGTACTAATCCACTTATAATCACTTTAATAAAATAACATTTTGCCAATTAAAAAAAAAAGGTGATGATTCGGCAACAAGCTTAACGTTGTTCATGTTACAAAGGTTTTTTCGAGACATACTCCTTTGACTCTCAACCAACAAATACAAAATAATTTACAAAAGAGCAATCCTCAAGATAAACAGGATGGAGGTGGGAAGGAGATTCATCTGGCTAATCCTCAAGATAAACAGCTGAAGAAGGTTGATATGTTAGAGAAGATGGCTTGCAGGGATGAAAATGAATGTTTTTAGCCTTCTTCTGATGTGGTGCCCGAGGAGGAGATAAGGTAGGGAGATTGGATTTGAAGAGATTAGTTGATAGAGAGGTGGAAATTGGCAAGTCCCAGGGCCTATTCTTTTTGGGAAGGAAGAGTTTTTGCTAAGAAAGCTTTTGAAGCCTTTGAAAGGAAGAGAAAGGAAGAAAATATGAGGAAAGTTTCTGAAGTGCTTGGAGGAGAAATATGGAATAACGAAGGAGGTTGGAAGGAATTTGGAGAGGTTGAAGATTAATTGAGCTTCATGGAGCCTATTTGTTTCTGATGTATTAGTACAAGATTGGCTTCTTTTGGGCTGCTTCTTCTGAAGTTTGTTTTAGTTTGGGAGGGAGTTCTTCTGGTGTGTTTGTGAGGTGTTATCCTAATACCTGTTATTTGGCTGTATTCAGTTTCTTTTTTCTTTAAGAAAATTCTCCTTTTACTTATCAAAAGAAAAAAGCATCAGATTCTGACTCCTATGTCTTGTCCATCCAGCACTGCTTTCACTCCCTATTTCAAAAGTTATCAAACTGCACCTAAACATTGCAATATAAGCGTACAACCTATGATATAGCAAATTACTAGTTCAACATCATATTCAAGGTTAATTCATCAAAATGCAGCAACAAACACCATTTAGCCTACATGCCAGCTGAGGGGTCTCACACTAGTCCCACCCAGGACTCCTCATGGAAGAGGATATGGAAATCCACAAGCCATCAAAAGTCTCACTCTTCATGAAGAAGAGAAATATGTTATTTGAGCTAGAAGAAGAATTTGTCTTGCATCTGTTATTGCATTGTCAATACACAGTGCATGGCCATATTTTATCTGGCTATTCAACAGATTCTCAGTGCTGCCAAAGTGCCAACGCACATGCCAATATTGATTTCATTAAGGCCAGCTAGAGGTTTCAGCACTGGAATCCTTTGCAACCTAGTGCCATTTGTACCATCCTGATTGGAAAGGAATTCCCACATATTTGGTAGACAGTGATAAGATCCATATATTTTTTTAAGGGGAAGATATGGAACGAAAAACCTAAAGCTTCTCCAATGAACATTCTAGAAACCAGTGGAAGGAGTTCCTCTTTTGCTGTATAAAAGACATATACACAAATTTGTATAGGTCATTTGAAGTTTCGTGATTTATTCCCTTCTTTTTTGATATATATAAAATGCAAATCATATCATTTATCAAGAAAAAAAAAAGAGAAAAAAGAAATCCATATCCCAGTTGGAGAAAAGTTTCTTGGACCCCATTCTGGGCATTCCCTGTTTCTTTTAAGATCGTCCAGTTAAGGAAATGTTTGTATACCCTTGCATCATTTCTCACATTTGTTTTCATTGATTTCATATATATATTACAATTACCTGGAAGGCTAACCAAGTTTATAAAGTTGACAAACATACTAAATGCCAAGCCTACCTTTCTGTTTAACATGATTGGTGTAGATGCACTAGGATCGCCTCTATTCCTAGATTTCAAAGTGCTCTGATGAAACTACGATAAAATGGAATCCCAGTTAAAGTTAAAACTATAGATTTTAGACAACAAGATATATCCATTATTTTCATGTAAAATCACAGTATAACCACAGTACTAAGTACTTCCAACCAAGCAGTTAAGACATCTTTTTGTTTTTTTTTGTTTTTTTTTTTTGATCAATCCAAGCAGTTAAGACATCAATTGCAAGAGAAATCCCTGGAAAGATTTCTCAATGACTGAATAGAAAACTCAATCATCAAAAGCAACATAAACCCATTACAATGGACAAAAATGAAAGAAAATGTTCTAAACTTGTGATTATAAAGCATATTTTCAATTGAGTATAACCAACTAAAAATAAGATTATACTCAAGGTTCAAAGTATCAATACTTTATGCCCCATATCAGGTGTTTGGACACCTGGCCTATTTTAAAGGTTAACACCCCTCCTAAGGGTGTCCTCATTCAATTCTCAACACTTAATTAATTTTTATATGAGCACTATGTCCATTTGAAACGCCAGATACACTTGATTATACCTTTGATCATGTTCTCTTATTCATAAAGTGAGCTTCCTATTGACTCAGGATATATCACAATGAAGGCAAATATACCTATGTAAGGAAGTCTTTTTTTATCATTTATGTTAGGAAGTCTTAAATACCTGTTAAACCAAGACTTCTTAGATCCCAAAGTAACAAATGGTTGTCTGTACCACCAGTGACCAATCTGCATTTTCTTCGGAGTAATGCAGATGCTAATGCTTGAGCATTTCTCTTCACCTGTTGGATATACATTTTGTACTCAGGAGTAGCCACTTGTTTTAGGGCTATTGCAAGAGCAGCAATGTGATTATTGTGAGGTCCCCCTTGCATTGATGGAAAAACAGCAAAGTTTATCTTATCTTCATAATCATAATAGTCATTTTCATCTCCTTGGATCAAAAGCATCCCGCGCTTCCTTGGCTTTTTACCTTTTCTGTAAAAAATTATACCTCCTCTAGGTCCACGAAGACTTTTGTGGGTTGTGGAGGTAACAATATCACAGTAATCAAAAGGGCTAATACATTCCTGGAAAAAGACACCATTCAAATATAATATAAGGAACACCATAACCATTCTAGTAAAGGGAAAATAAAAAATAAAAAATAGAAATGACAAGGAGGATATAACACTTCTTGGCCAATAATAACAAACCAAGGAAAAGAGGGTAGAAACTGAAGAGTATCCAAGATTTTCTTTTTATTGATGTTACCAAATGTATTATAACAATGTTTATTGTAAGTATAAAATGTACAGATCCCTAAGCTCAAAAAACTTCCAGAATAAATTTATGTCAAATCACATTCATCAAGCTTCTTGGATAATGATAGCCTACTCCATTTTCAAGATCAGGAAAAAGGTCACACAAAGAGTTACTATTCCACAATAACTGTCGTGCAATAGTTAAACCAGTTAATGTTTTTCAAAAGAAAAACCAAAATACCAAAGGTGAACCAAATAAAAGCACTCCACTCTGGATAAGGAAAAAGAAAAAAGAAAGAAAGAAACAGAATCCATATGATTAAAATGCAGCACAGGTTGCAAAACTTTGCACCAGATCTTAAACTGCTTATGAGTACAGACTTGAAGATGGTTATCCTTTATTTTGAAGTTTTTAGATTAAAACAATGACAAAAATATATAAAACACTTATTCTTCAGTAAATAACAAAAGTGTATCAAGCAAGATGAAAGAAGATGCACAACCGAGGAGAAAAGTTGGGCATGCACAATGTATATCTGGCAGCAGACAAGCAAAGGAAGTTTTCTACTGCTACAAGAAAATTATAAAAGATAGCACAAATTTCACTCACTCCACCTTGGTTAGCACAAATAAATATCTTCTGTGTGTCACCTTCAAAGGTGCCATTCTTAGGTTACAATTCAGACTAATATTGCAAAATTGTCTCATGGAGGCAACCCTATGCATAGTTTTTCTACACCAAGGGAATTACTTAGTTAAGCTTCCAGTGTTTAGACATATTCCGGTTTTTCCAAAAATATTTTTTATTTCTAACTTGGGAACTTTATTGATTTGTGATAAAAGAATAGAGAATATGTACAAAAAAAAAGGTTGTACAAGAGCACCCCACAGATACAATAGCGAGCTAAATTCCCTCCTCAAACCCTTTTCCTTTAATTAAGCTACACCATTACCATGTTCCATCCTTGTAGTCCCCAAAATAAATGCTCCCTGCTGGCTCCTTATCTTGCAAATGCATCAGCCATGACTTTGTTTTTTTAGTAGGCATCAGCCATGCCATTATTTGTTCTACTTACCTAGCTGAATATGGCTCTCAGCTCCCTTGCCAAGCTGATACCATTGTAAATCAGTTTTTGCAGTTTTTCTATAAATCCCTTCCATACAAATTCTTCAAAAATGACAAGACCCAACCATAGGAAAGAGAAACTAAAGCAAATACATGCAGACATTTAATGTAATAAAATAAAGGGTCTCATATGCCAAATGCAAGGAATTGTTGCCAAAGCAACAGGTGATGACCAGTCATTTGGACACCTAAATGATAATGCATCAACCAATTCATGTCTAGAGCGCCTAGGCACCGACTAGCTGACGAACCAACTACAGAGACAAATACACACATAAGAGAGAGAGAGAGAGAGAGTTAAATTTAAGATGATGATAATATTAACATTTCTAATGCCTTGTGTCTTTCTTTTTTTTATGAATGACAGAGATTTCATTAAGAAGAAAATAATATGTACAACTTTACATTCTATTTTACAAGGATCAAGCCTTCACCACCCATGCATATTACAGCTTAGCCCAAAACATTTGGTCCCTCATAACCTTTGTTTAGCAAAGAGTGTCAGCCAAAGAGTTGGCTGATCTTTGAACGAATTGCACTTTCATAGTCATCGTTCTTGTCAACCATTTAACCCTCTTAAATTCTTGTCTATACTGCCAGACAGCCCCTTCATTCATCGTTCTCTTGCTCTTCTAACCCCTTCCATTACTGCTATCACTTCTGCCCTCACAGAACCACCAATTCCAATTGGTCCTGAAAACATTGCCACTACGTTACTTCTCTCATCTCTAAACATCCCCCCATACCCAACTACCCCGGGTTCCCCACGCTACTACTGTCAAAGTTTAACTTAATGAAACCTTGTGGGGGTATCCATTCCATCGCCTGTAGGGGTTTCGTTACTGATGTGTCTGCAACCGCCTTCCATTTTCTGAGAATATCATCAACTGAATAGGAAGAATATATATCTAATGTTTTCACCCACTAAGACACCCTTTTTTTATGAATGATAATAAATTTATTAATTCAGAAGCAGATTTAGAGTGAGTTCATACAACATCCCAGGGAGAGGC